TCTCTCTCTCTCTCTCTCTCTCTCTCTCTCTCTCTCTCTCTCTCTCTCTCTATCTATCTATCTCTCTCACTCACTCACTCACTCCTTCCCTTCCTGTCTTTCAATCATTTCAGAGTTTGTGCGAGAGTTTCACGTATACATCCATCGGGTTCTTGAATGAATCACAATGACACCATTCCACTAATTGCATTAAAAGCAAGTTTTCCACGGGGTCTTTGCATCATGAGTTGCTAAAATGACAGGACACCAGGCGCGGGGATTCAACAGCGAGCAGAGCCTTCACTTCCACCTCATTAACACTTCGCACAAAACGATGACCGGGGTAAACGAACGAAACACGCTACATTCCAGAGGATAATGATATGTAAAAAGCAACAAAAAAAACAAGTTTTAGGGGAATAAAACTCTTTGAAAAGGGCCTTTTTTTCGCTTCGTTTCTTTTTTTGCTCTTTGATAGTGGGCTGTTGTTGTTGGGGGGTTTTTTGTTTGTTTGTTTTTTGTTTTTTGTTTGTTTTTGTTGTGTGGTTGTTTTTTTTTGTTTTTTTTTTGGGGGGGGGGTTCCGTGTCCTTGGTCCAGACACGTTTTCTCGTGCTAAATAGAACAAGGCACAGGAAGGTGATGATCGGAAGTAATGTGTTTGTTTCAATAAAGTTAATCAATCGTTAGTTAATATTATTATGTTGCCTGTGGCATTGTACCGCTAGTGATGATACCTATTCTTCAACCTACTTGATTACCAAGTAATCACTGGTTAATTTGATGCTGTTGCATGCACAATATTACGACTTTTATGATTTGTAGGTAACACAGAAAGAGTATTATTTTTTTTTATTTTTCGATTAAAGTTAAACATTCTGTTAGACACGTTACATTCGACAATATTCTCTGCCCAGAAGATTGCGATTGTAACCTGAACAGCTTCAACAAGCTCTGGTTTTTTTAGTAAATGGGAACGAGACCACGTTTTCCCAGTTTCTTGATTTTTATGTCAGTGGCAACCCCGAAACCAAAAAAATATCCCAAAGCCCGAAGGACACCATGTTAATAATGGCGTTTTGTCCCATTGTAGACAGCAATGGAGTATACTTTTGGAATCCCCTATTTCACTCTTGAAAGTCAGAGTGAATTGAAGGCCTGCAAATCAACCATTTACAGTCTTCACATTTTCACACGATTATGATTGAACAACAACAGCCACTCTTTAAAGTATGTGTGGACTTTTTCGGTGCTGAAGATCGCAATCAGCAATCCAGAGTCTGAACTGTGGAAGATATTGTAGAGACAAAACAAGCCTCATGGCCAACAAACATTTTTGTCTAGCTCTAACCACAATCTCTATCATCATGGACATTAATGAACAGCCGAATAAGAAGAATATGTTACTCTACTTCAGGCTTTCATCCGACTAACAAGTATAATACTGTGATCTTGTTTACTGTAACAAATCAAAGCTTTGGTGTCTAATCACAATCTCTCCGTTCTTATTCCAGATTTTTTCTGAGTTCTAATTCCAATCAACCCGCAATGTGTACCCGACCTGGCCTGGCTGCTCTGCTGGTGCTGATGACGTCTTGTGCCTCCAGCTTCTCACGTGCAGGTGAGTAGGATAAAATGTTGTCCCGATTTTGTCCGCGAACTAACCAAATTCACCCCACGGTGTTTTTCCTTACAAATCACGTTTCCTTTCTTTTAACAACTTGGTTTACTAAAATAGGAGTTACTGTACCTATTACGGTCACGCACCTATTGCTTCGTTTCATTATATCCAAGTTTCTGACACTAACAGCGAAAGCGGTCCTACCAAGCAGCTCTGCAGTCAGCATCCGTTGCGTCAGCGAAACAGCTGCGTGCCCAGATCGTTGTCATTAAAATGTGTGTGGCATCGCGGGGAAATGAGGGGCTCGTCAAATCGCTATCTTAGAATTACGAAGTTCCATCTTACGTTTTTGGCAGTTTTAGGTTACTAAGACCATAAGGTCAGAATCCAAATGTTATATCTGCTATACCAAAATCGTAAGAATATTTTGAAGTCGTTGTCAAGGTATCTAAAGAATTGCATTTGAAAAAACTTGACATTTAATGAAACTTAAAATTTGTAATGTCAAATATCTCAAAGCTAGGTACTGAGCAGATAGAACTTTGCAATTCTAGGGTAGCGAAATGTTGAAATCGAAGAAACCACTGCTTTTCTGCTCATGTGGCATTTTTATCTTTGTTGTTTTCTTGGCTCAGTAGACCTACCACATTTAAAAAACATATTTCTGTTTAAATTTTACTGAAAGACGTTGATCAAAAGCAGAGGAAATGTGAATGTTTTAGTTTCCAGGTTTAAAAAGCTTTAAAAATCATCACCGATAGGCGGCCATTTCTTCGCTAATTTTACCTCTGAAAACAGGGATCCCTACCTCCTTCAATCGCAAATACCACAACTTCTGTTCAAGACAGATAGGTATTGTTTTATCAAAAGAAATTCAAATGAACAAGGTTTAAGGTGATTCCGATAACTCCACATACTCAAAAACTTACGAGCGCCTCATTCCACCGTGTCGTGACATAAATGTGTCTTAGGTCTGCAGAAGTGTGCTAAGCTGCTTGCCGTTAAGCCGGGCGATCACCGCGCGCTTTCACACCGTGCGCGCTGCAGGACTGCAACCTGCCATCAGCCATAATCGTGTGAAGTCATCACTGACTAAAACGTCAAAACCTGACTAAAATCTAGGTTACTGCAGGCAGGCCTAAAGCAGGCACCATCCCCATCCCATGAGCTTGCAGGCAGCCCAGTACAGATGGTATCATATTGAATAAAGAGGTTTTCTTGAACATATAGTTTTGTT